CCGGACTATTTGTATGTGATTTTGATGAGTAGTTGCAGGTTTGTTTACACTTAAATGACTTATCGCCCAAATTTTTTATGATAGTAACAAATATTACTAGATCTGTTACCACTGTAATTCCTATCTCTTGATTTAGATCGATTATGACAATAGGGACGACTGTGACGTTGCTTGGGTAAAGCAGAAACTTGTAAGCTAAGTTCACTAACCTGTGTTTGTAAACTTTTGATCACTTTTGTTTTCATCGTTATAGATGAAGTAGCAGCTATTTGGGGAGTAACAGGGTTTAATTCCCAAATCTTATCGGCCATTGTAGCCTTATTTTGACAAATCTTCAACAATTACAGATATAATGCTACGCATATTAATGGGTAAACGTTGTAGCCACAACATTTTTAGGAAAGTATCTGTTACTTTATCACCTGCCAAATTATGCATCTCACACAGCAATTGAGGTGGCCTTTTTGAAACCCAGTTCTAATTCACTCAGTAATTTTTTGGTTTTCTTTTAGTCTCTGGATCTGCATATAAGGAAATTAGTCTATTTTTAATTGCCTGATATTTATTATCTTGTGGTGGACTTAGCAAAATATTGGGTTCAATGGAACTTATTATCATATTTTGTTTGATTTGCATTTATTTTTGCATTTCTAAATTGTGTTTCTAGTTGAATGAACCATATTTTAGGATCTGGCTTCCAAAAAGGAGGAACTTTAATGCTTACCTTGGTGACAGACTCAGTTGTTGCTTTAATTTTGGTTTCCTTTTCATCAGCCATTGTAGAATTCAATCACGCTGAGATACACCACTGAAGTGTCTCGTATGCAAATGTAGGAAAATAACACTTCTCTGACTCCAATAGAACCAATATTTTATTCCTTACAAAGTTATAGATACTTATTCATGAAATTTAGTTACATTTTACATGCACGTTGAATCGTGTGATAGAAAACTGGACTTTGTTTACTTCATTCTTTGTGAAGACTAGAAAGTGTTGCCATTCCGTTTTAACTAAATTAGAAACTTGACGGAACTGAAATGACACTACAGGCAGCTTACCTTTCTTCCTCACGTGTTATATTTTAAGAAGTGTTTCAAAATAGTAAACCTACTAAAAGTACTGGCAAACACCTGCTGGGGTGTGGAACATTGTTCTTTACTTTGTATTTACAGATCACTTGTATGCACCAGATTAGACTATGGCTCAATTGTATATGAATTTGCTCAGCCTTCTGTTTTAGTGAAACTTGATCCCGTACATCATCAGGCCCTGAGGATTAGTTTGGGAGCTTTCAGAACGTCTCTTGTCCAGAGCCTATATGTTGATTGTTATGAGCCGGCGCTTCAACTATAGCATGAGCAATTGTCTCTTTACCAGTCTTTCAATATTATGTCACAATCTGATGATCCCCTCCTGGTGTGCAGGCTTGATGACTGTCACAAACTTCTATTTTCTGCACGACCTCTTAATGTACTTCCTTTCTTAGAAAGAACAGAAATACTGATAGAAAAATTTTGCTTGTCTGATATCAAGGTTCAAGCAGTAAAGTATCTAGAATTCCCACCTTGGTATAATCCTAAAATTGAGCTATTGGATGTTTTTCAAGATCTTAATAAGACTGAAACTAATGAGGTAATACATTCTGTAATTCTAAATATTTGTTTACATAAACATTTATTGCAAGACCTACCAGGAAAAGGATATCAGATGACTGCAAGTGTATGATTGCCAGAGATCACATGATCATTTATTTTTCAACAATTTCAGAAGTAAATCGAGTAGAATGCTGAAACGAAATTAATATCCCTTCTCTGAAGATTGCTCCTTTGGACTAATGCAAAAACGAACAATTCGGCCAGCGGGAAAGAAAGCAGATTTTTCAGAGCACAAAACTAAAAGTTTACATTTGGTCCCACTCAGCTAAAAGACACTGAAAGTGCAGAAATTGAATTCACCATATGCTATTTTTAAATATTTTATTAAGTTTCAAATGTAAACAAATATGGCTGCTATGGTAGAAAAATTAGGCTCAGCCGCACTTAAACAACTTTTAAATTGTTGATAATTTCACAACTATTTCATGCAGATAAACTAAAGGTATAAAAACCTTAACCAGAAGATAAGAACAACATAATTCAATCATTTTTAAAGTAAAAAATGCAGAATTTGCCAGCATGTAAGAATTGAAAAAAAAAACTGAGCTCATGGAGCCGAGTAACAGAGTGGGTAGATATATATATATATATTTAACAGATACAATTTTCTCTCATTTATATAATTTTAATTTTAAATTATGAAAATATACATATTTATATATTTTTGGTGCAACCAAAATGGGAGGTGTACAACTATATGTTATAGCAGCTCTATATACAAAAATTTCAACATTCTGAGGCTACTCGTTTTTGAGTTATGTGACATACATACATACATATGTATGTACATCATGAAAAAAATCTCTTCTAAATCCATTTTAAATCCTTTTTGGAAAAAAGAGTTCTTTATTCTTGCCTTATGTACAGATGTCATGCAAAAACATCAATCAATTGCATTTGATAGCTGTCAAAATAGATATTTTCATTGAAATAAGACACATGAAAATTTTCTTGATTACAATACTTCCTTTTACTTTATACAAGGAAGTAAAAAAAATGATCAAAATAGTCTATGTATTCCACGAAAGTGGTTTGGAAATTTGTATATATTTAAGAAACATATATTTCTGCTTTTATTGAAAAAGGAAACAAAAAAAGCTCTCAATATTTGAAGGAAAAGCACATTATATCCATTACATAGACTAGCAGTATCATCTATTGCTTTAAAAACAATATGTTTGTGTAAAAACAAATACCATCTGTCATCATCTTTTAGGTCAGGAATTCTTTATGAGCATACAGAAATTTATTATGATGATGGATCCTTACTGTTATATAGATTCTATAATTTCAAAACAAATTTTTAACTCTTTATTGAAAAATTTTGCATTTGCCCCAAAATATTTTAGCTATTTGGTATTTTTTCGGTTGACTTATCATTGTAATATAAAATACTAGACCCCATGCAGCCAGCCTTCATATAATATAAAGGGGGGGGGGGGGGGGGGGGCGTGGGGGCGCGGGGGGGGGGGGGGGGGGGGGGGGGGGGGGGGGGGGGGGGGGGGGGGTGGGGGGGGGGGGGGGGGGGGGTGGGGGGGGGGGGGGGGGGGGGGGGGGGGCGGGGGGGTGGGGGGGGGGGGGGGGGGGGAACTAGACCCCAGCCAGCCCCCTTCGGGGGGGGGGGGGGGGGGGGGGGGGGGGGGGGGGGGGGGGGGGGGGTGGGGGGGGGGGGGGGGGTGGGGGGGGGGGGGGGGGGGTGGGGAGGGGGGGGGGGGGGGGGGGGGGGGGGGGGGGGGGGGGGGGGGGGGGGGGGGGGGGGGGGTGGGGGGGGGGGGGGGGGGGGGGGGGGGGGGGGGGGGGGGGGGGGGGGGGGGGGGGGGGGGGGGGAGGGGGGGGGGGGGGGGGGGGGGGGGGGGGGGGGGGGGGGGGGGGGGGGGGGGGGGGGGGGGGGGGGGGGCGGGGGGGAGGGGGGGGGGGGGGGGGGGGGGGGGGGGGGGGGGGGGGAGGGGGGGGGGGGGGGGGGGGGGGGGGGGGGGGGGGTGGGGGGGGGGGCGGGGGGGGGGGGGGGGGGGGGGGGGGGGGTGGGGGGGGGGGGGGGGGGGGGGGGGGGGGGGGGGGGTGGGGGGGTTGGTTGGCTTTTAAATATACTGGGAAAATGCCTAAAGGGAACACCAGACATTAAATTAAAAAACTGTACAGAATTTTACTTTGCAGAACAAATTTATCCAAAAAAATTTTCTTTATTTCTATAAAACATATTACATATAAAAAAAAATTACAATGAAATAAGCAATATCTCTTAATACAAATATTACCTTATTTGCCAGCCTATAAAATGCACCCCCTTTTTTATACACATTTTTGAATGATAAAACTGTATTACTGATCATTATAATGAATTTACAGTATTTTAAATGTAAAGTAATACAAATACAAAGTAATATTTTCTGCAAATACCAATCTATCTGGGAAAGAACACCTTTTAATCTTCTTCATCAAAACTCTTACACTAATCTCTAAAGCTAAATGAAGAGTCACTTGAAACCTCTTCTAAATCAGTATCCGAGTCCTCATACAACAAATTGTCCTCTGTACCCTGCTTCCATGTTCTTTAGTATATGCAATGACACTAGCTTGTATGCTATCTTATAGCACTGTCGACGTTGTTTTTTGAGCTATAACTTGCCAAGAAATTTAAGATAATTCAACAATCGGAATTTCACTCACTGAAAAGGCGTTCATAAAATTTGAAAGTTTAAATGAAACCAGGTGTGATCATCGATGGCAGTGCATGCACATTCACTGAACTCTGCATAACCATAATATTCCCAGACTCCAAGGAAAGAAGAAAAAAATTGCATATAATAAAAAACTGAGTATTGACGTATAAGACTCAATATATATAAGATGCACCCCATTTTTCAGACCTATTTTCAAAAGAAAAAAGTGCATCTTATATGCCGGCAAATACGGTAATTATTCTAATAAATAAATTAATCAACTTCCCCTTGTTTTCTCTTGACAAACGGCCAGTATCCAAGAGAAACATTAAATTTAAAAACTGCATAGAATTATCTCATTTTTTTGAGTGGCAACAGTGCTGATATCAGCAACAATGGCTGCATGCCATTGTTGCTAATATATCACTGTTGCATGCCATCATGAGGGAGAATTATTGATTTGATGTGATTTTGTCAAAAACATAAAATTTAAAAAAATCTCATTCGAATTTTTAAAAAATCGCTTTAAGGTACACTGGCTTATGTGCAGTATGAATGAAAGATGCACAGACAGACTCTTCCTTTTATATATATAGATTAGCTGGTATTAGAAATCTTAAATTTTATTACTTTTTTGCACTGCTTTTATAGTCTGAATTAATTACTTATTTGTTCTCTTACCAGAAACCTTTGGATGATATCATTGTAAAAGCTTTGGGTGATACAAATCGTGTAAGGAAACCAAAAAAGGTAGTTTTTCTGTTGTGTTACTTGGGCAAAGAATTTTATGGAATGCAAAGGTATTTCTATTCTATTTCTTATATTTTATGTTCACATTACTTCAGTTGGCTTTATTATTTTTTGTTGTTTCTACTTGTTTTTTAATGAATTTTTGGTACTGTTCTGTTATTAGAACTGAGTTCAGAAATATATGTATGGATGTATGTGTTCATGTGTATATATATATATTTCTTATATGAATGAATATATGTGTGTGTGTACATATAGACATATATGCACATACATACACACGTGCATGTATACATACATTTCTGAATCTGGTCCTGATAACCGAACAGTACCAAGTTTTCAATCAAGAGTCTGTGAAATATGCATTGTTTTAAACTTCAGTTTGGATAATTGTAAACTATGTACAAAAAGGATTGATTACTGCAAGTTTCATATCTTTAGAAAGAGGTACAAAGGTTACAAGGTTATTTCTTTACTAATTTTAAATAATAACAGCTTTCTACTCCCTCAGGAAGAAAGAGAACAACTGCTTACTTCACTTCTAGCTTTAAAATCAATAGCATTATCAAGTCCCAATTCTCACCCATGAACTTCAGCAAAAGAAACAGCTGTAAATACAAAATCGGTGACTGCAAGTAATTCACCAACTCCTCCTATAGATCACAATGAAAGAATTTATTCACAAGTTATTTGATATTCTTCGAATCCAATGTTATTGATATATAAGAACTTTAGCTGAAAGACAAAACTAAAAGAGCAACTTATCAAAGAATTCCCTTTACAAATTTTGACTTCCAAATAACCACTCTATGGCCACAAACAGCCATTCTTTCAAGGTTTTAAGATAACTGTACATAATATCCCACCAGAAGTGCAAAAACAAGAACTCAAATTAGTAGTAGGATCAGAACATAGTTTAAACAGCAACACAATCAAACTATTATTGAGATTGACAGAAAGAAATAATGGCAAGTGGATCACAGAATGTACTTCAATAGTCTATCATACACATAAAGCAAAACTCCACATTGGATGGTATTCATGTGTTGTCAAGGAACATTTTTCAACAAAAGCCATTTCAAATGTCCAGAACTCGGGCATATCCACTGGCAGTGCTAAAACAAAGCATGCTGTGCCTTCTGCTTGGGTAATCATCATATCAAAGAATGACACAAGAAAGTTCATCTGCATCGACTGCTTAGATTTTAACTGCAGAACAGGAAATAATATCTCAACTGTACACCGAACATATGTCACTTCCTGTTTCAGCTGCAAAAGCTACATAGAATGCTGCTGAAGAAACACTTGGTATTTCTCAATTTGCCATCAATCAAGCTGGTCCTATCTACTGTAACCAAGTTAATTTATAGAAGGTTTTGACATATTTTCAGAACAGTTTTAGAGCAGTTTAATTAATGTTTAAAATGAAAAGAATATATTTTGGGTCTACAGTGTGATTTCCATGATAGAAGGTCTTTTCATAAAATTTCCAGGGGGTATAGATTTATTTCCATTCTTCTTCCACTAATTTCCAGAGTCCATCAATCATGATGGGCTTCTGTTCTGAAAAAGCTCTTTTGAAGTGATCAAAGCACAGTAGTCCATACGTGAAAATGGGACTTATATATTAAAGAGGTATACATGCAATATCTTCATTATTTCAAGGAACTTTTCTTTCAGGATCATTAATCATTGAACCAATATCTTGAACATAATTTTTCAAGGTACTTTTTGACATATGACTTTTTGCTTGTTGAAGTATCACTCTTTTAAAGGTAATTTGACTAAAGAAATGGAATTTCTTCTCTAAATATTGGATGTAAAGCTTTTTCTAGATAGTACATTGATTTGATTTTAGCAATTTTTTTCTTTCTTTTTATTTTTAATCTCCCATTATTAGAGAATTCTGCAATTATCATAAAACCTTTTATTGAAACTTTTTTTCCCCACTAATAGAGCCAGGTTTGCAAATTTTTTCTCTTTGTGTATGAAAATAAATAGACCTTTTGTTTCTGGCAGTCATATTTAAGTAAACCCATACTTTCATCAAGGGTGACATTATTTATCTCCTGCTAAGTAGTTTTCATATAGGGTTCTACAAATTACTCTGCATAGAGCTTCATGCCTCAGCAAACCAGGTTTTTAGCTTTCTTAAGTTGTAAATCTTGATTTATTATTTTATTTATTGTAGTTACAGATGTAAGACTTTGTAGTTGATTTCTGCTTGGTGGATTTTCTCTTGTTACCAGCAGTTTAACTTTAGAAACATTACATACCTTTTTCAGATATTCGTTTGGTGTCTTTTTTCCATGTAGAAATAATTATTCACAGTTTTTTTCTTTTCTGATTAATAATGTTACTTGTTTTGTTCTTAGAAGTTTTTATACCATGCATTTAGTAGCATTTTTGTATTATGGAATAGGAGTATTTCTGTTCAGAAAATGCAAAAGCATATCCTTGAATCCACAACTTGTTTACATGTAACGTTTTGAAAGAAGAATTAGTTTTAAAGTAGCAGACAAAATTTCTCATTTCAGATAATAAGCAGTTACTAGAATTTTTTATTCCAAAACATTTGCCTTATTTAATTGTTTATCGAAATCATTCTAAAAGTATGCAAGCACCCTCTGTAATTGAACTACCTTTATTATTCTAACATTTTTGCATCCAGAATTAAAAGGTCTACATTTCTTAATAGCAAATAAACAATTAAATACAAGACATGTAGCCTCAAATAAAATTAAATGCAAAATAAACCCCAAAATTATCAACCTTAAAATAATAAATAAACAATGTAAAGCACCACAACAGTAAGAAAAATAAAACACAGTTGGAAAGGATTCAAATATATAGGACAATGTATACATATGTGTACATTTTCATTCATGTATATACTCAAACTGACAATCAGTAAAGGACTGGCTTTATGTTTGTGTGTCTCTATATATAGTAAAGACCTAAAGTAAGAAATTTAGAACCAGTTTTTCACAAAGACCAAAAATTGATAAGCTTAATGCATAAAATGCTAGACATGGTTTTATTATGTTTTTTTAATTGTTTTGTAATTGTAATATATATATATATATATATGTAATCAGTGCCTTTTTCTAAAAAAATTATGGGAACTCAGCAAAATTATATTAAAATTATAGTTCAAATTGGAAAAAGTCAGTAGGCAAAATTTTTTACCAAGAACATCCATCATATTGTACAATTAACAGTATTTTCTGGGCTGGGTTGAGGTTATGTTCATTAACGCCTTCTTGATACCTCTGCTTTCTTTTGGCACCAAAGTCATGGAACTTGTTTGAGATTCATAACTGCTGCTGTTTTTGTAAAATATTTGCTAAAAGCTAAATTAGGACTTAAAAAAATAATTTTAGAATTTGATGATTTTTAATTAGATTAGAATGAATTATCATTCAATAACTGCATTTATCAATTTAGTATGCTTTTCCAAATGAGGTCGGGCTTAGATTTGTTTAAAACTTACAATATAAGAAGTAGATAATATTTATAACAGCTTATTTGGATCATTAAAATAAAGTAAAATTTCATTGTAAAACTATTTTATAACATTTTATATGCAACTGCTGAAGTTAAGCATATTCTTAAAAGGAGTAAATTGCATACTGTATCATTATCAAGAAATTTTGGATTCAACTATGTATAACATTTATACCCACATGATTATTTAATACAGTATATAGTTAAGGTAAAATAATACACCAAATAAATATTAATTTGGAAGTCAAACAACAAAAATCAGCATTATATTTGCAAATTTTCACAAAATTATCGAAACTAGTCCTGTGAAAATTTGCAAATGTAATGCTGATTTTTGTTGTTTGACTTCTAAACAGCATATAGTATTGGATATTTACACTCTGTATACAAAAATTTAGTTCTCACAATAGTAAATATAGCTAAACATTTTTGTTGCCAATATGCACTTCATACAGCTTAACAAATTGTATAAATATCCTTATTTTGAAGTTATTCCAACTTTAAAAATTTTTACTTCCTTGCATTAGATCTATAAAATGTTTAGGATAATATATCCTCCCCAGAAGAAGACACTGTATGTATATTTTATGTGCGTATATATATATATAATTTATTTATTATATTCTTTGGCATTGTTTTGTTCATGTGTTTAATGTGGAAAAATTCATTCCCCTTTGGAAGAAAGGCACTGTATATAATAGATAAGTTATGAAGTAAGAAATTTAGATCTAATATTTCACAAAGACCATAAATTGAAATTCATAATTAATAAATTTCAAAAAATCATATAAATGCAACAAAGAATTTTAAAATGTTAAAACCAAAACATTTTTGTAATCATAGATAATTTATATGTATGTGTATACATCTATATATCTCCAGACAAATAGATAGATAGCTTTGACATTCTCATTGTATTAAAGATGTCATTTTATTAACTTTTAAATCAGTGTACAAATTATTTTGTGTTAATGTACGTAATATAGAAAATTTCAAAATAAAAATGTATAAATTATGTCTTTTATGCTTTAAATCACATTTTTAGGAATTCAAATGTTTCTACTGTTGAAGAGGAATTATTTAAAGCCTTACTGGAAACCAATGTAATTCTTAAATCAGAATTTGATTTTCCTAAAACAATGAAATTCCAACGGGCAGCACGAACTGACAAAGGCGTATCTGCAGTAAGACAGATAGTTTCTCTAAAAATTCCATTGAAAGAAATATCTGATGCCCTTCCTGAAAAAATTAATAAGCATCTTCCTCCTGAAATACGGCTTGTTGGTGAGTATTTAAATTAAATCAAACTCAAATGTTTTAAATTTCTATAAAATATAATAAGTAAATATCTCTACATTTAATATGTATAAAATGAGTGCACTAACATAACATTCAGGGCTCAGGGCTTAATTTCAAATGTCGGAGCACTGTGGAAAAGCATAAATAAATATCTTCATAAATTTAATTACTGATAGATAGTTAAATAATAAAGTAAAATATAGAAGAGCAACTTAGTTGCGGCTCCGGCAGAATTTAAGTGCTGATAGCATTATTAAATACACAAGTTGAAACACTGGCCTTCATAGAATACAAAAGGGTTAGTAAAGTGGTAGACTGAATACTACATCATTTTATTTTCATATTTCAAGGAATTGTTTTTAATATGATACAGCATTTAATAAACTTTTTGTTATCTATTTTGCTTTTAATTTCATTGAGGTTTTATTCACATAAATACGTATAAAAAAAGTTTCGGCATAGCTGCAACACCGATTAATGACCCTGGGAATATTAACAACCTAAAAATTGCTGTCAGTTTTACTTAGTTTGTTTTGAAAATATAAAATGTTCTGTTCTTTTAATTCATATCAAAAACATCAAATGCCAAGAAAGTTTTACTTTTAAGTTTCTGCTTAGTCTGACTACTGTGGAAATATATTTGTTGTATTGCAAATAGATGTATAACAATTTTAGTCTTAACAGCTGTGCTTTAATACTAATTTGATAAACATTGCTTTTTTGTGCATGATTTATCACCATTTGATATTTGATGTACTATTGCACCAAGAAGAAAGAATCTGTAATCTGTTTGCACTTTGCATCACCTGTTACACCTAAAATAATGGAAGTCTTCAATGCACATAATTGACATGGAATTGGTTTAGTAAATACTACTTATTTCCAGGTATTCTATTATCCCACAGCAGTGATAATTTGTTAAAATTTTCACAAAGGGCTTGCACTTTATCTTATAAAACACATAAAATAATATTTAATTTTTTTTTTTTTTTTTTTGTTTAAATTTGTGTAGTTTTTCCCTAATGGTTTAGATTAGAATATTTAAATATGGCTCAATGCACAAGGACTGTCTACCTAAGGAGAAAAGAGTGGCATAAGTAGAGCTTTAGCCATCCCAGGGCAGTCCATTTGCCTGTCAATGCACATTAAAATGTCAAAATAATATAGAAAGAAATAAATTAAAGCTATCCATTTTTTTTAAAATTATTTTTATTTCAACATTTTAAAATGTTATTTTATCTGTTTTCCTATTAGCAAAATTGTTGATAACATTCTAGAATTTTTTTTGCAGTTGCTCTTTTGCTGAGAGTATAGTATTTATTAAATACAAGATACTTATTTTTAGATCTTGGGTACTTTTTATCCCGCTTGTATCTGGAAAATCTCCATTAACAAAAGTAATATCTAGAGCAGTTGTGAAGAAAATTTTGTGTAGAATTATAATATTTTGAATTTCATTTTAAGAATTGTCTTGTAGAGTAAATTATAAAAGTTCAAAGTGACTGCCCTTCCACCTTTCAGTTTCTCGATACTAAATTTATTTTTTATCATTTCTTTCAGTTTCATCTCCACATCATGAATGCTAAATTTTGTAAAAAACCTATTAAAGTTTCTAATGAAGTGCTGATATCTAGGGAAATTTAACTCGCGAGTGGTCGCGCTCATATGAGTTACACGAACACGCGCACTGGGTCCAAAAAACCCAGTTCTTGTTTTTTGAAGAAAATGTTGTGAATATTCAGAAAAAATGTGACATTTAGTCAATAATAAATTTATGATAAAAATTTTAAAAATGCAAGTTAAAATTTATTTTCTCAAAATGCTTTTATGAAACAAAGTGGCAGCCACATTGAAAGAAAGTGTTTTTGTGTATTCCAAATACAAATATTTTTCACATTCGGCGAAACACGGTTTTTTTTTTTTTTTTTTTTTTTTTTTTTAAACTTTTTGCTCTACAACAATGCTTTTTTTTTTTTTTTTTTTCTTTTGATAATTATTCCTGCAAAAAAATTTATGTCTTTCTCACTCTCGTTTTTAGAATCTATATCACTGTCTGAATCAGAATCACATGAATTAAAAATTCATGATCACTTCCATCCTCATTTTCTTCAATACATTCTTCACCAGTTGATGCCTCTGATAACTTTTACAACCTTACTTCATTGTATAATAAATAACGTGACATTTTTTCCACTTTCTATACTATCACAAATCTACTATGAAACAGTAACACGAATAGGTATTCTGGGTCTAAAAGACCTGATTGCATCAAAATCAGGACTCTGAATAAAGTCCCAATGAATAAACTTCGGAAACATAAAGAGGTCGATCTAAGACACAACTACACTGGACCTCAACAGCATGCGTGAAATATGTGCACTTTGAGAAAGGTTTGTTTAATCGTGTGGGTCCTTTGGACCCAGTGCACGCACTCGGAGATTAAAAATTTAAGGAAACATATTAATAAAAAGAATATAAATGTTATGTTAATTTATGTGTAAAATTATTTGTAATAAATAAGTTTTTAGATGCAGAACAGTTTTTAAAATGGGTTTATCTTTATGTTTTTAAGAATTAGTAAGGCAAATTTGTGTGAGAAGGAATTATACCATCACTTAGCTTGGAAGAATATTTTAAATAAAACAAATCAGAAAGTGGTCAATCTTTCTAACAAGAGTTGGCATAATAAATAAAAAAATTGCTGCTGTAGGTACATTTTGAAAATTTTAATCACGCTAACTTCCAAATCTAAGTTCAGATTATAAAATTTGACAAATTCTAAAATTTGATAAGGAATTTACTACAAAATACTAAGGAAAGCAAAAGCACAGTGAAAGTAAGCAATGAATTCATGTAATTGTGCTTATTTTATTTTAATCTTTTATGAAATCTATCAAATTACCAATAATTTTCTCATATTTTGGTTTACGAGAAACTAATGGAAATTATATGTTGTACATTATGGAGAAAGATACATGCTGCATTTGTTCATATTAAAAGGGATTTTCCATCATTCTTATGTTTTATCAGATATATTTCAAAAGAATTGGAAGTATTTTCCTTTCATGCATATTCTTTCTAAAGCATAAAAAATTAGAACAAATAAAAGATTTAAGAGAAATTTATTGCACTTTGAATACTATTTTGCAAAATTTTTAAATTTTTTTACACTGTGTCTTCATTTATTATTATTATTACAGTGCAAAGTCCGTAATCCGGACGTCCATTATCCAGAATGATCTATAATCCGGACCTCAAAGCCACAAACTTCCGCATGCGCGTCTGCTATGCATGCATGTAAATACAGTAAAGCGTTTACCCATGCGCGCTTCTGACAGAGACGTTATTGGAAAACGAAAAAATTTCGATTGACAAGTTAGCCGGTATTCTCAACACAGCAATTACAGGACTTGAATAGTGGAACTTTGTAACTGAACAAGAAATTATGTCTGTTTGTAGAATTAAAGAGAAAGTATTAGCACAAAAACAAAGCACTTAAACAACTTACATTGAAAGAAATGTTTAAAAAAAAAAACAAATAAATATTAAGCTTTTTTTTTTTTTTTTTTTTTTTTTTTTTTGTAAATTTTGATACCCTTTAGATCATAATTGCTCTTTATTTCATAAATTACGGTTTCATATTATTTAATTGTATAATTTCTGCATGCCATCTTACCAGATTTAAATGATGATCTATAATCCGGAAAAAACCTAATCCAGAATCCGAAGTCCGAGGAGTCCGAATTACGGACTTTGTACTGTATTACGGTTATTAGTATTATTATTAATTATTTATTATTATTGTGCAATGTATTTCTAACTTGTTTGCTTCCGTTCCACATGTTCTTTATCAGTTCCAAAGACTCCAAAAAATGTTCCCCCATCAAAACAATTTTTTTTTCCATAGTCATAGTTATAATTTATTTTCCAGCTGTAAGGAGAGTTACCCAATCGTTTGATGCAAAAATTGCATGCGATGCAAGAACTTATTCTTATATGTTGCCAACATTTGCATTTGCTCCTAATATAGAAGGAAACTCTGAAGAATATAGGATTGATGGTAATATTTTTTGATAATTTTAAAGCTGTTATTATTATTAAAATATGTAAAAGTGAATGTAATTCTTAGTTTGTTTAAGAGATCCATTTATTTGGCATAAAAATTCAGAAATTGGTCAGTCAGAGGATACTTAGCCGAAAGGATGTTTAGCTAATGTATTGATTGAGGAAACAGCATAAGCATTTAGACAAAACTAATGTATTAAAAATTGTCTACACTTATCCAAACAATGGCTGTCTCCAGGGTACATATTGAAAAGGTTTATATAGAAATGCCATATTTTGGTTCTTATTTAATGCTAGGTATACTACACATAATTCATGATATAATTTATAAATAATAAACAGATTAAAAAGGAATATGCATTTGCAGGAAGAATTAAGGAAATATTTTTAAAACTCATGCAATTTGAATGATTTTTCACCTAAGGATATGGAACTTGCACAAGATTTTTATTTTATCATGTCTGACGTAGCTTCAAAATGCAAAATTGCCTATTTCTGGAAGAAAAAAAAAAATAAATAAAAAAATAAGAAGAACATATAAAATGTGGTATAAAGTGGGGTAGGGAAAAGTTGGTGTTGCAACTTTCTAGAGATACATAGAAAATATTAAAAGATACATAACCACCCTGATCTATATGCTAGCTTTATAATGATTTTCTATGCTGTGTATTAGATTCTTTAGGAGTTCCTGCTGTAACAAAGTGTATTTACGATGAGTAGTGCCTTTAAGCACCTGGAACTCGTAGCTGGAGGCTGTGATGCAAATTGACATTTTGTTACATTATATTGGATTTAAATCTGGAGAATATCCAGGTCACTTCATCTGCTAGATTCCTCTGCCTTTAAAATTAATCGGTCACTAGTACAGCATGATGGGGATGAGCATTATTATCCATTAAGAGAAAGTTGTTACCACCTTAAACAACTGGACATAAGAATTAAAAACCACATCTGTGTACATTACTGTATACACAGTTGCACTGCTGAAATTGTATAAGTTGGTGCATGCAGTCAAATTGATGCTTACCCATTCCTTGATTCCACTGCCTTTTACAGATGTTCTCAGGTTTATTGTATGTGTTTTGCTCCCTCTGGTTAGTGACACATCTGGAATCACTCTTCAAACAAAAAAGAGACTTATCAGTAAAGAAAACTTGACTCTATTCTGTGGTACTTCAACAATCACAATAATCTCTTTACCATTGCAGTTGAGCACATTTGACAGCCTGAGTTACTGAAACATAAATCATAAAAGCCTTTTAACTTATGATACTAGGTAGCTCAAAATGAACTGAAACCAAAGCAGGTGAAGCTTTCCATCTGATTCAGTTTGTTTTGGGCCACCGAACTGGATAGTCAAAGTACTGTAGCTGTAGTGAACTGCCTTGCAATCTGAATTGACATGAGTTGTGTTTTCTTTCAGCAACTGCTGCTGAATAATGGTACTGAGAGTGCGTTGTGACAAATTTTTGACTTTAATAAGATTATCTGCATACATTACGAGTGTCTTTAGATCATTTTCAAATTCTTGATGCTTTTGGCTACTTTTAGGTGTTTATAAACCTGTGTCAGTGACTGTTCTACTTCCATGCTTGCAGTTGCATGCCATTTCTCAAAATCCATAAAATTCCTTCTTCGCAATATATTACACCTTTCACAGGTAAATTTTTTTAAACTACTTATATAATTTTTGAAATTGAAATCTAAAGGTAGCGTGATCAATGAAAGCTCTAACCCATTACTGCACTATTCCATTGCTCATAATGTTAACAATGAATTTCAGCCGCTTTCATGTCTTCTGCACTAAGAAAACAAATCACCGATTGTATTTCACAGTCAGTGGGAATCTTAATCAGTGGCCATTCTAAGTACTCAGAAATAAATGTTAAAAGAGTTGAAAATTTTGATAATGGTGCTTGTGGCTTGCTAACAGATGTAGCTAAACAGTGCACATATGTGGAATATTGGCCACAGCATTGCTGTGCCAGAATTATAAAACAATACGTGCTTTAAAAATATGCCTCGTACACAGGCAAGGGAAATCATGTTTTCACTCAAAAAATTCCACTGCTGAGTTTTCAGTGAATAATCATGAAACAGGGCCCCCAAAACATCTTTTTACTATTCTTTGAATGATGTGTTTGTGTGTGTAATGATTTTTTTGTCAATAACTCTTATATGGAAACTTCCAAAAATTTCCATTTTCTGTATGTAAGCCTTTTGCATTCATATGCAGAATTAACTAGATTTTGTGTAAAATTGGACAAATGGAAGTGGTACTTTGCTTGAAGCTCATACAGGCCTGTATCCTTTATGTATCGCCTGTATGACTTTGAGTATAAGAAACACACATAATTTGACAACTCTGATGAAAAAAAAAGGGCATTCACTATTTTAAACTCCTGCCAACATATGTAAACAGGCAAGAAAGGTGATGTTTTCGGTCCAGAAATTTTGTAAGTAAGCTTTTAGTGAATAAACACTAATCGGGATCCCTCCCACATATTTTGACTATTTTATAGTAATGGCTGTCTGAATGTGTATGTACAGATGATGGTTTTTTCATCCATGATAATTCTTATAAAACTTCCAAAATTTCTATTTTCCTATTTAATCTTTCTACATTTGTATTAGGAGTTCATTAGATCTTGGACGAAATTGGACAACCTGAAGTGGTACTTTACAAGAAGCGCATAACGCACTTTAATGAGCACTCAGAAGTGATAAGTTATAATGGAGAACTATATTAAAATATAAATCAAAACTTTTCAGTATCTGAGACGTTTATATCAATGGGAACAATATATTAGATTTTGACTAAAATTCATAAACCAGAAGTGATACTTTACATGAAGCTCTAAACAGACTTTCGTGAAAAATTTATCCCGAGATAATCTAAATCTTCTTAAATTTCATATTTAAATTAGATGTGTGATTGAAAACAGCATATTATATTTATAAACATTAAATGTGTTTGAATTATGCTAAATACAACAAGAATAATCTCATTATGAAGATGAGCTCTGGTTATGAAACAATTAAATGCATTAAACTCAATCCTCAGTTTTGTGTTCATTTCACTTTCATTCACATTTTCAAATATAAATATTACAAATATTTTTAAAAAAAAGATATATGGCAACAATTAACACTCTACTGAAACTTCTAAAGATGAGCTGATTTTAAAGATTTTATGGTTTCATTATTAAATTTTTATACAGTATAAATGTGAAAAAATTGATGTATAGTCATCTTATTAAGAAAACTAAATACTGATATCATAAATTGGGAAAAGATTAAAAAAGAAATGTATGGCACACTTATCATTCTACCAGGGATTCTAAAGACATGCTGCTTTTAAAAATTTTGAGATTGTTAATTCATTGATTTGGAAACCAAAACACTATACGGTATACTACAATCGATGTGATATTTTCTGAGAGCAAACTTGAACACATACAATTATCTTGTACTTGAGCACATATAAGTGTCATTGTACGTTGTATATATTCCTCTTATTAAGAAAACTAAATACTGATATAAACTGGGAAAAGATTTAAAAAGAAATGTATGGCACACTTATCATTCTATCAGGGATTCTAAAGACATGCTGCTTTTAAAAATTTTGGGATTGTTAATTCATTAATTTGGAAACCAAAATACTGTACGGTATACTACAATCGATGTGATATTTTCAACTCAAATCATGAGAACAAACATGAACACATACAGTTATCTTGTACTTGAGCACATATAGGTGTCATTGTACATTGTATGGAAGAGTAGAATAATAAAAAAGGAGTAATGTTTGTAATTAATACTGAACTATAAGCTTTAGAAACAAATTAGATTATATTTACAAATTATCAACCAGAAGTGATATTTAATACTGGTAAAATTCCATGCTAAGACATTGCCAATTCCAGTCTCTGAACATCGAATTGGCAAGAGGTCATGTGCTGGCCATATCAGATTTTTTTTAATATGATGTGTTGCAGAGTATTTCAGTAAATCCAACTTGTTTTACAGTTAAAATAGTTCGAGTGAGAAAATAATTAGATGGGCAAGAAAATAATCTGAAAATTTTATAAAGTCCTTCAATCATTTAGATGGTTGATGTTAAGCCAGGGGTTCTCAAGCAGGAGAGGGGAATTTCTGTTTCAGGGATAAATGTGGTCAACCTTTTATTTATATGTTAGTTTTATTTTTATGAATATAAAAAAAAAACTACTTTTATTCAAATTTTGGTATTTATTAGCATTTTCCACGCTTTTTCTTGTTTAATTTATAGAACACATTAAAAAACAATCTAAATTTAAATAAATATATGCATTTTGAGTTTGGGAATTAAGGGGAGGAATGATCATCTAGCAATGGTGAAAAGAATGCGTGGAGCAAAAAAGGTTGAGAACCACTGTTATAAGCTTTTGGAAATGTACTATAGATTTTGATATTTAGTTTTAAGAATAGATGGCTAGTATATTATTTTCTTTAAAGTGAACATAAGAATTTCAGAAGTAATTCTATAAACATGTTTGAATAATGTTTTATGAGAAAAGATTTTTTTATATTTATTTATTTTTGTATTTTTCAGATGAAAAAATTAAAGAAGTAAATAAATTCTTACAGAATTACATAGGAACACATAATTTTTATAATTTTACGTCTGGAAGGTAAGCTTTTTATTTTAGATATGCATACAAATACATATTTTTATGAATATGTTTTAGAGACATAGAAATTGGCTTGCTTCAAAATTTAATCAGTTATGTCAATCTGTATATCTAAACATTTACATTTCTGTTTTTATCTACATATGTATATACATATTTACACAGATTCTCTTTTCAGATTACCTGGTGATCCCAGTTGCAAAAGATATATTTTATCATGTGAGGTAATGAATTGATGTATTTAATGAAGTGTAATACTGAACTGTGTATTAAAACCTTTAGTACAGTTATAGCTATTTCTATTAATATTTTATTTCCTATAGTTTGTTCATGATGTTATAACCATGCAATATATATTTAAGCATATTACAATATTAATAAAAGAAACATTTTCGCCTATGTTGAATATCTGTGTCAAGATGATGTAAGTGTATTGTTTACTGTTACACTGTTGAATATCAGTTTGGTTGGTGTATGTATTTTCAAATTATAATTTTCCTTTGTGTAAAATGTTTTTTAATGTTATTTTTTATTTGTTTGCCTGTCTGTTCTGTATTTTAGAATCTCTAATTTAATTTTTACAAGTTTAAATTGTAAGAACTTTTGTGGGGGGGGGGGCTAATACTTTGACTAATGTGTGCTTTTAAGCTGTCTTACATATGTGCCTTAAATAACTGCAGTATACATCTGCACTTCATGTGTTTAAAGAAAGTAATTATGCATATGTTATTAAGAACATATCCATGTAATGTATATGTTAATATATATGTTAACATATATATAAGTTATAATATGTATGTTATATAAATATTGAGCTGCATGGTTCACTGTGGCAGTTTTCTTTAATACCTAGCTATAACCACATGAATTTTAATCATAAAGATGGGAGTTCTAATCATTCAGAAGACTGTTATCAATCAAAAGGCCTTTCTACCTCTCTCTGTTTCCTAAAAAGCTGTGATCCCAGTTTAAGTTAAAGTCCCGATCCATGTATCTGGTGTAAAAATGTTGGGTGTTTGTTGGCTGAGTTTTGTGCAGTGATTTGATTTAAAGCTTGCATATTTAATTACTGTTTTCATTGGCAGAAACATCTATTTAAACATAACGTTTAGTTCTTATTGGCAGCTATTGCCCATATGTTGTGATGGTTTGTGCTGTTTTTTTTTTTTTTTTTTTTGGGGGGGGGGGGAATTCAAAACAAATTTTCTTCTAATTAATATTACTTTTATTTAGGGGGTGGAAGATTACAGTATTTCTGGTATGTGATGGTATTGTTAATCTGTGCAGTGCCTTATGTTTGTTATGAGAACTGGACGCCTATTCTATGATCACTGGGTCCGTCTACTACTTGAGCGAACAATATTGACTCAAAAAACCGGTATGGACAGCCGTTCAACGACTTATCTGCGAAAGCCATTCTGTAGTCCTCAGTTGGTGGGTGGGATGGGTCCATTTGACTTTATTGAAAGGGACAAGGCTTCAAGGCAGCTTTAGACCAATCGCAGTACAGACGAGTGACGAAATTTATAGCGCACGCTGCCTGAAGTTCTAAGGAATATTCTCCCGTTATTTCACTAACTCACGCGCTGCATTTGTAGTTCGAAAAAAATTGCACAAAACAGTATTATGACCAAATGCCTATATTAGGATGGAGGATTACATTATTCAGAATTTCATGCCTCTAGGTACCGTTGTTTATCACAGTGCGAGAAACATTCGTACATTCTGCAGATTCCTCAGTATTTAATTTCTTTAAATATAATAGAGTGCCATAATACTTGGTGGCAACGATTTGAAAAGTGAAACGCCACAAAGTGGCAAAACGAAATTAATAGCCCCTGGACAAAACTTATTTTAAAAGTATCACACTAGTAGTAGTACAGCTACTGGAAAAAGATATTATAAAGCTGTTTTACAGTTTTATAATTTTTTTTTTTTTTAATTTTTAATTTTACAGTAGTGTGAATTTCGCGTAATAGTGAACATTTTTTGTGTTCACAGTATTATCGTAAGGTATTCAACTGTTAGATTTTAAAGTAAACGTATTCTCTGTACATAAATAAATCGAGTAGAAGCTTGTCGGATGCTATATTTGTATTAAATGAAGAAAGTTTATGTGCTTGATAAACTTATATCTTCTACATTTTTAAAGCATACAATTACAATTTATATCTATAATTTCAGGAATAGTATAACCTTTCTTCAGTAGAATTGCGTTCTGTTTTCTGAATGTGGCTCCAAATACTCTCTCAGTTCATCGCAAATTAAGATAACTAGAAAAATTTTGGCAATCTGAAATACACAATGAAAACATCTTTTGGCAGAGTAAAAGCATCAATATATTTTCTATAAATTCGCACCGATTCAGAGATCTATGACCGTATTCTTCGTTTAAATATGAAAAAATCAGCAGCGAAAACACATACAAAGCCATTGTCTACTTAGTACGTCAACTGCACAACCCTGATTGACGACGCAGCAACACTTTTTCACGCGCTTCCGACAACTTCCGTACTCAGAGAATATAGGATGTCGAGCAGACCTGTTTTTTACTAGCAGCGACATCTGGCGGCCCACAACTTGCTGTCGACTCTCGTAGCGTAGAATAACCGTCCTGAACTCCATATTTTATGCACTCATAACGTTCTAGTCAACCTTTGTTTATCTGTTACTGAAATGATATTGTGTTGATTTGTAGTTAATTTTTTATTTTAAAAAAACAGACAAAGAGATATTAGTTTATTTTTGAATGGAAATATTTAATTTCTGAATGAAATATGCAGACTTATTTATAAACAGATTTATATTGTTACGTTATTTTCTTCCTTCACGCTCATACGGGGTTCGTGCGGATTTGGAGTGAATAATGATGACAGCAGTTGATGAAGTATCAAAACACACTTTATTTACCGGTATTGTCAGGACAGCTCCAAAACACGTTTTACAGTCGTCGATGAACTACTATAAACACGCTGACACGATCAGCAACACAGCCCCAGGTTATCAGGCTATCACAGTGGAGACAGCTTCACTGCAAAGCACCAGAGTACAGCTCCCGACTCTGCTCGGTCGTTCTCGAAACTCCACATACTCTCGAGACTCTCCACACGATGCACTCGACGATACACAAGAGTATAGCTCTCGACTGAGCACAGTCTGACTAACTATCTAACACTCTAGACGAGGCACACACTCCTCTGTCTGACTGCAGACCAGCAGGGTTTATATAGCTTTTAGCTTGTGTTCGAGAACAATCTGGGCTAAACCGATAAGAATTCTTTCCAAAGGTTCTCCATCCATGGCATGTCGCCAAATGGGTGATTTCTCGCCAAATGTGGCAACCCTGTCTTCCTTGCTATTTTATGACAACCCTAAAACTGCTTTGCGGGGAAGCTATCTTACAGTGCCTTGACATTTCATAACAATATTTTGTTATTCATTTTTAACCTTGGGTTTTATAAATTATTGCAAAATTTAAAATATTATTCTGATATTGAGAATTTTGTATTAATATATTATTATACTGAAATCATAAATTGTTTTTAGATGTTTAAATTTTCATTATACTGAAATCATAAATTGTTTTTAAACTTTTACTTAAAAGTTTTTATAAAAGTTTTTAAACTTTTTTAATTTTACTATTGTGAATCACATTGATGAAGTATATTTTTAATTATCTTTTTAGTTCGCAGAGTGTTAAAAAATGATAACCATAGGCTTTATTACTAAATGCTGATTATAGATATGCTCTTTTAGATGCAAATTTTCAAACAATAAGATGAAAAGTTTTTTTAAAACATTTTCAGCATTGTGTTTATAGAGCTGTCTACATATAAAATCCAACTTTTTATATGGTTTGCATAGGACAGAAATTTAGATTTGTAAAATATTGTTAATAATTTATTAAGGCAGACATTTCTATAACTTTTTGTGAAAATTATGGAAATATTTGAGAACAAATTTACTAATTTAAGGTACTTTTAGGTGTCTTTTCCAATTTGAATCGGCAGTTTTTTTTACTTAGGTTTAGAGAATTATTTATAAATATCCTGTTGACCTTTACAATGAAAGATACAGAATATTTTTTACAATAAGCTTGCATTTTTTACAAACATCCTGATATTTATGAACTACATATTATTTTAAACTATTTCTTTAGTCCTGAAAGACTTATAGTTTTATTGATACCATTTTCCCATTTGTGAATTTTCAATTTTACAAAGTGTTTAATTGATGTAATTTTGGAAAATTAAAAGTGTGTTGCATTTAATTGATTGAAGCATTATGTTTATTTTACTGATTAGGATTTTTGCTTGGCAGGTTCTATACAATACGTTAAATTTTGTATTTGCACCTACTGTATTGAAACTATTATAAAATCATTGCCCTTATTATGTAAAATTTTACAGCTGATTACATGAAACATTTTAAGGAAATAGAGCCTGTAATCCTCTTTTTTTTTTTTTTTTTTTTTTTTTTTTTCATACATTGCATTGTTATGAGTAAATGTGAAACAAAATGCACAGTAGATAAAGTACATTGACAAGAGTTTAAAATTTTATTCTTTCTTTCTGTATGATTGAAATATTAATATATCTTCTGATAATGTTTGAAGCATGCTAAATTGAGTAGTGCAACAGCCCTAGTGGGCCGAGGCCAGCAGTACCCCGAAATTTGCTTTCTTGACCATGGGCCCCATGGTGCATAAGTATATGGCCTGTACAAGTGGTCAGCTTGTCGCAAGACCCCCAGTGTTTAGTCCCCAAGCGAACTTGGTACTCATTTTATTGACCCAAGAGATGCAAATCTGCATGATGCACTAGCCACTGTGCCAGTGGGCCTCTGTTTGAAGCATAACAAAGTTTATTCTTAACGAGTTTTCTGGCTTTATTATTAGCATATGATTTTAATGCATGAGAACAGGTTGTTTGTTCTCTGGCATGGATTTGCTATTCTATTATAAGTTAATAGTATTACTTTACTGCTTCAGCTCTTTCTTGTAAAACATTCTGCATTTTGTTTAAATGTTTCAGGTTTTCAAGAAAATATTATATTATTTAATTATTAGAACACATATATTCATATCATTGATCATTTGGCACAAAGCTTACTGGAAAAGTGGCACTCACAATTAAGTTGTCAAACAAAGAAATTATCGAAAATACCAATACTCATTGCAGTTGTATTTTTAGGTTTTTCTCTAGTTTGCTAAATTGTGCATGAG